AAGATAACCACCTAAAAACAATTATTTGTTTGCTCAACATTATAGCAAAGGTGTGTCTCAGTTGAACTTTTACTTAATAAATGCACTTCAATGGTCAAATTAGATGCATTTTGCTGGAGAGGCGCAGCGAAATGAAGCTGATTTGACGGTTGCTTCAGGCATGATCCCAGAGCTGGATGAAGGTAAATGTACTGTACTTATATAGCGCCAGCGCCTTTCTATCTTATCGAGACACTCAAAGCACTTTACATTACAATCTGTGCCCTCATTTACCCATTTACAGCACTCTACTAGATCTGTACAAAGCTAATGTAACAAATCATTCTAAAGAGACTAATCAGAGCTTTATCACATTCGTACACCAATGGGACACACTTCGGAGGCAATGAGGGATTCAGTGTCTTGCCTAGGGACACTTCGGCATGTGACTGCTGGTGGATTCGAACCCCCAACTCTTGCGTTGGAGGACGAATGCTCTAACCACTCAGCCACAGCCACCCAGTTTCACAATAGTGGCCACTATGGCAAACCGATTGTGTCATTAATGGCCACTTTTACCTATTAGATGACACAACGGCTTTCCATACAAATCAAGTGCCATCTAGTGGCTGAAAATGGTAATGTTCAATATTTTCAATGTCAGAATGAATGAAAACGGCCATATCTCTGCCAAAAATTGATTTGTAAATATGGGGAAACAAGTAATTTGCTTCAGTGTATAAGTCGCAGGGCATGCAACCTATGCAAAAGACTGCAACTTACAGGGTGAAAAATACAGTAAAGTTTTCTTTTGTTTGGATGTTTCCAACCAATTAACTGTACTTGTGCATACAGCTGTTGAAGCAGAGAGCACTGAATATCACTTTACGTTCAATAAACAGACACAAACTAAAGAATGTGTTTCATTGGGTGACACCCATGCTTTGTTTGGTTGGAATACAGCACAATGCTCCAACCATCAACTGTATTAATGAGTTTTGGTCTTGACTTGCATTCAAGGTGATTTTAAAAAGGTCTTCTTAAGCCCCTTATCCACGGGTCTTTTTGGTACTCCTATGTAACTAGTTGTGGCCGATTGCAGGATTTATCAACAATGCCTCTAGTGGTGGAACCCACCCCATTTTTGGGACCTAAATCACTGAGGTCCCAGGTCTGGTTCTTTTAGGGTCTAGTTGTGACATCAGCGCACTGTAGGTCACTGATTGGTCAGGGGGCGTATTCATTGGTGGAGGGCGGAGATTCAGTCTTCCACCGGAAATCACAATCCACCATTTTCTTTTTCACCCGCATAACAGACAACAAGAAATCGGAGGAGCTTATTTTGGAATATTTTATAAGGTAAAACAAATAATCATGGCACAACCGTGGTCGAATGCTGAAGCTCAGGCATTTCTCTGTTTGCTGGCCGATGAACAAGTGCAGAGCGAGCTAGATGGAACGAAACGAAATAAAAAGATTTTTCAAGAGGTGTCTGCGCAGATGGCGGTGCAGGGCTTCCATCGCACACCAAAGCAAAGAGGAAAGCTTAAAAAACTAATAGCTGATGGTGAGTGTATTTTATTTACTTTAAGCATATTTCCTTTCCCTCATGCAACCGTTTCTTTGCGTTTTCTGAAAGTACTCTGAACAAACGAGGCTGACGCGGTTACGTCGTCATTAGTTAGCATCATTGCTAACTGTACTCTGTTGCTGTTTTTCCACTCTTATTTTGATGCAGAAAGTCCCACTGAACATGAAGGTTCGCCAGATTCTGCTTTTGACTGCCCAATCCTCCCCGCTTCTGACCCTTCCCGACCACACCAGCTCCGAGTACATCCATGCCACCGGGCAACACGCAGCAGAGCGGCACCCGTTACTAGGTAAGAAGCAACAATTGTGTTTAACATCACATTGATCATGTTGATATGAATGTTGTTTTGTTTTTGTTGTAAAACACCTTGCATGTATTCAAACTACTTGTTTATTCAGTTGTAATGGATAAATGTTAAATTTAGTTATTCATTTATTACTTAAACTTTCATTTATGAAGTTTATTATTGAAATTATACAGGGTGTAGTGATTTTTGTTCAGATTAACGATGCTCTGTTCTTTTTCTAAATTAACACAAACCATTGTAAATGACTACATGTAGTTTATTTATGCCCACCTGCTTACTATCATTAAAGTACTAGACTGCTTTATGAACAGAATCATTTCTGATCTTGTGAACAAACACCTTTTGAAATTAGCAGGAACTTTAATGTAAATAATTTATTTAAAAACTCTACCTGTACTTCATCATCTAACAGCCATTTTCTTGTGTGTTATTCCTAGGCAATAGAAAGCGCAGATCAACAAGTGCAGCAGAGAGCTTTGTTTCTGCACATACAGAACAAGAGGAGATGAACCGGAAGCAGAGAGAGGAACACTTCCATTTTATTTGTGAGGATGCCAACAAGGCAAGGCAAGAAGAAGCTGCAGCAGCGAGGAAGCAGGAGAAGGCAATTAGGAGGGAGGAGATGGCCTTGAGGAGAGAGGAAGCAGATGTTCGCAGAGAGGAAGCAGCACAGCGATGGCAGGAGGCTGAACAGAGTGCTGCTTTCAGTCAGGCACTCCTTGGGGTGCTGTAATCCATTGCCCGTTCCATGGCAAACAGACATGTTTAAAAATATTTAGAGTAGATCATAGTTGATCTATAGAAATGTAGATCCTGCAAGGTAAGCCCACAAATGCATATTGCATAAATATGCATGTTGCATATATAATTGGTGTATAATTGTTTTTTTTGTACAGGTCTTTATTTCTAATAAAAGAAACAATTTTCAAGTCTTGAGCTTCCATCTGATCATCAAAAGTGAAGTGCTTACAGTGTTTTTTTACGTCAATAGTGTAGATAAGTGAAGTAATTGTTTTTTACCTGTAACAATGCTGGTGAAGATTCTCATTTATCCTTGACACGGCAAATCCCTCCCAAAACAGATAAAAACAAAACCACAGGACTTTTTTTAAAACTGAAGACGTTTCGCTAATCATCCGAGGAGCACTCACAATTCAATGAAAAAAGGAATCTGGGATTAAAGTTATAAAGCTGTGGTGTTCTGTAAGCTTGCTGGAGGTTTTCAGTCATCGCATGTCAAACACCTCGGCCATGATGTCCATCCTGTGGATCCAGCAGCTTCTGTGTCTTTTTCACCCAAGGTCAAAAATTCTCTCCACGACTTTCACTGTGGTACAAAGGAGCACTAACTTAATATTACTAAACAGCACTTCAATCATGAAGATAATTTACGACAGCTTAATTTAAAGAGCTGCGTGGTAAGCATAA